GTTACTATTCTAAAAATGGAACAGATTTATGGTTTATTAGGTAAAATAATTCACAATTATTTGAAGTTATGGTGTAACTTAGGAACTCTGTGTGTGTGTGTGTGTGTGTAACATCATGCCGTTTACATAAATCTCTTTTCAAGACAAACTATTGTTCAGAGTGCAGACACACTCAATATGTAAATTATGGCTGTTTCTAACAAACTGTTTTTTGTTTTTTTTGTTAACACTAGAATATTCTCTAATGGATTCTCCTGAAAGTCCTAACCAGTCCCCCCAGTCCCTCGGGGAGGACGAGGAGGAGGAGAAGGGCTTCTCTGACTCTGGGCTGCTGGACTCTTCTGATGAAGAGGAGGACAGGGTCGTCTCAGGCAGCGAGATCATCCATGATGAGGAGAATGGAGCGCTGCTTGAGGAGGACGAAGAGCCGGTGGAAAGCCGACGAAGAGGTTTGGAAATAGAGGAGTTGGACGAGGAGGATGAGGTGGTGCCCGACTTCATCTCCGACCCAGAGGATGAGGGACCTGGAGGGATGGGACAGGAGGAAGAGACCATTGTTCTGATGGAGGGGGATGAAGATGGTCCACAGGGGGACCAGTTAGATGGAGAGGAGGAGAAGGAAGGAGAGGAGGAAGAGGACAGAGTCATTGACACGCCACAGTCCCCCGACTCCGAGCAGGAACAGATGAAGGGCTTCACTGATGACGACAATGGAGAAGATGGGGAGGAAGGATACAGTGACTACAAAAAGGGTGTCCCGGCTCAGCCTGAGACACCTGAGGTAGATGAGGAGGAGGAGGATAAAATCAAGGAAGAGGAGGACGAAAGGATGAGAGCTGAAGAGGAGGAGAGTAGAAGAGCTGTCGCAGTGAAAGAGACAAATGTCGAATCTGCTTCTGTTTCCCGGGAGCTAGACGAGCATGAACTGGATTACGATGAGGAGGTCCCAGAGGAGTCCAACATCCCTGCACACGAGGAGGAGGAAGACGAGGAAGATGCAGAAGAGGAGGAGAGTGAGGACAAGAGCACAAAGAAAAAGGAGAAGAAGCCTATTCTCCCCCCGTCTCCTAAAAACAGTGAATCCAGGAGATCAGACGACTTCAGAGGGCCTGACAGGATGTCCAGAGATTCCTTCAGAGACAAGAAGAAGGACGAGGATGACGGAGAGATTGACGAAGGAGAGATTGATGTAAGTGGACATAGTTTTAGTTATATGATGATCAGTGTGAGGTGATTGGCTGGCTGCAGGTGAACGATCATATTCAGAAGTTTTTCTCATTAATTTAAAGCTGTTGAACATATGTAATGTAATTAGATATTTAAAGAGACCCGATAAAAATTTAATGTAAGATCGAATGTTAATCTTCTCTGCCACACATTTTACTATGTGTGTAATTATGAAATGATTTGAGCCAATGGTGTGAAAGACTTAATGAAAGATTTGCCAGACTTTTAGCACCTGATAGGTGACCAGAGGCCTAAACTACGAAGCCTGGTTTGCAGTTATCTGGATAACTTCAGGTTAACTTCAGGGTTTTTTTCAGTCTTTTAAAGCGTTTAAAAAGTGTCTCTGAAGAGGACAAGGGTCAATTCTTTTTACCTACTCTGATGAGTGTCTGTAGGAAAGATGTTGATGATCACAGTAGTTATATCCTTCCCTTTAAGTAGGTTTATTCCCCCCCAGTCAGCCCTCACCAAAATTAAACTACACTGTTGCGTGGTGCGCTCTCCCCTTACAGGGAAGGATGAGGGAAGAATAAAACCATGTCTGGTTGGTTAAGTCGATCCCCGTCACTAACAACCCCAGCACATCTCAATCTCTCCCTGTCCTATAATAGAATATATTCCTTTTAATCAAAGATTTGTTAACTGTGACTCAGAATCTCGTTCTCGTTACAAAGAGAAGTGTCAGGAAGTATTCAGGTCGCAGCAGAAATCAAGATGCATCAGACCAGGATTTGTTTGATCACTGGTCAGGAGTTGAACCCCTCAGCTGCTGTCATCCATCTGGAAACCATCTCAGTGTAGTTTTGTATTTAATGTCTCAAGCTTCTCCCTTGAGCTAATTGTGCCTCTCTTCTGTTTTCCTGGTTCAGTTTTCTGTGTTTGTGACCTGTGACAGTGTGACATCACATACCATGTCTCTCTTGTGTGTTTGGCAGGATGATGACCTGGAGGAGGGGGAGGTCAAAGATCCCTCAGACAGGAAGATCAGGCCACGTCCCATCTGCAGGTTCTTCATTAAAGGTAGGTGACGGAGAACAGATCCAGAGCTCGACCTGTGAAGAAACACAACTCCTGTGTTTGACCACTTTAAGACGCATGTATCAGCATCTGTGTGGCAACAGAACGAAGCTCTGGATGTACCTGGTTGTCTGCAAAAATGTGATCTGATCATCTGAAGTTTAAACAAACGGCGTACTTTGGATAATTACTCACAACATAATGTTTCATGTATTGTTCGAACGAGGTCATTAGAAAGAAAGTGAACCTTGAAAGTACCTCAAAGAACGTCAGACCTGCTCAACGTTCAGGACGAGGCTTTGCTTATTGTTTCTGCACAAGTTCAGGGCATTGTTAGCACGTCTGGTCCGAACGGCTCTCTGTTGGGTTAACGTCGGGTCTCTGCGGAGGAGCCTCGGCTCGGTGGCGGCTGTGCGCTCGCTCATTAGCCCGGTGTCTTGGCGCTGCTAAGTTCTGGGGCCTTATTGCCAACTAGCGTGACTTAGCCCACAGAAGAGTTAGCGGCTGTTCAAGCTGCAGGTGAACGTGTGTAACTCTCAACAACTCGGACACGTTGTGTCACTGAGCACACACAACTCTTCAGAGACATCTGGAGTTTATCAGGGGTTAGCTGCCGGAGGTGCTGGACCTTTATGTAGATACACTTTGATATTTAGGGTCTTTGTCCCTCTGTACCAACCAGCTTTAACGGAGTCCTGCTCCTCTGTTGTCCTCTTTGGATATCGTGTGCATGTTGTTGTGCAGTGGGATGTTAACATGGTTTTTGAAGAGCAGCAGCTTCCCTCCTGGTGTCCGTTCTTTTTGCAGGTTAGAGCATGTGAGGAATGTCCGTATGTTTGTTTAAGCACATGTCGTGTCCGCTGCTCTCCAGCAGGGGGAGTCATAGTACTTAATATAGACGTCAGTGTCTGCTCGCAGTAAAACTTAATAAGAAACTTAAAATGTAGACTGAGAATATAACGTTTCATTGGTCTATTTATTTATTTACATTTATTTTTAGTTCCTATAGGTTTTTGACAGTTGTAGAAATGTTGAACTTTATTAAAGTTTAGAGTTACAGCTGGATTTGTACCAGGATCAGAATCAATACAAGAATACACAGTGATGTCATTTGGGTTATTTCTTGTTCACACCTCTCTCTCAAAAGACCGTATTATTTCTTCAATAATAAAAATAACTATTCTAATTCTTTATTTGTTCTTAATCTGGGTAACATCCTTCTTATTGTTTGCTTCCTTCAGGAAATTGTACCTGGGGCATGAACTGTAGGTTCATCCACCCTGGAGTCAATGACAAAGGTAACTATTCCCTCATCAGTAAACCAGACCTCTTCTCACCTAATGGAGCGCCCCCTGGTGGACCGCATCCTCTCATACCCAATAACCCCTGGGTACGTCTCTCTTCCACTTCTGTTTAATTGTTGCACTGATTGTATGTTTGCTGTCTGACGTTGATACACTACACAAATACTGAAGCTTTTAATAGATAAAGAAAAAGATTATACAGTGAATGATCGCTGCCTCCTGCCGTCACCGAGCATCTGCATCTCTGTGTTCAAATGCAGACGATGAATGAGTTTGTCTCTGCTTTCAGGCCGGGCCTGCTGTGGAGGAGCTCCCTCCACCTCCTCCCCCAGTGGAGCCCCCTGTGGAGAGTGCGTGGGAGAGAGGACTGAGGCACGCCAAAGAGGTAAACGCTCCCACCGTCTCTCGCTGAAACACTTCGTTCCACTGGGCTGATGGATGCTGAGTCTGTATGTAGAACAGTTTGTGTAGAGAGACTTCAGACTTAGTGGAGGATCTGGAAAACGGCCAGTTTTGCAGTTTTATTGAGCTTGATTTATTTTTACAGTCGATGAAACAGTGACAGTGAAATACACTGTTGCTTGTCTATTTGGAAAACCTTTCTGTCAGACTCATGTAGTCTAATAAACCGTCCTCCGTCTGAGATACCGGTGACACTTTTCCTTCAGTAGACCGTTAAACAGACCCCCTTGCGTCTGGTTCTGTTTCCCACAGGTGCTGAAGAAGGCCACCATCCGTAAAGAGCAGGAGCCGGACTTCGAGGAGAAGCGTTTCAACGTGACCATCGGGGAGGACGAGAGAGAATTTGACAAAGAGAACGATTTCTTCAGAGAACGCAGTTACCGCATCATCAGAGAGTACGAGCTGCTCCCGTTGAATCATAGAATCTCTCTGTAATCTTTGAAGGGGCTCTTCGATTGGGTTGAGTGTTCTGCTGGTTGAAGCAAATAGTTTTAGATCCGCTTATGACGCCCTGTTTAAACTCAGTCATCTGCTGTAACTGCTGCTCGGACATTCCCTATTCCTCTTTTTCTGTCACGCTCTCAAACATTCCTCTTTCAGAAGTTTCCTGAATTCATTTGACAAAAGAATACCGCCTCACACGGAGATTTGAACTTAGGCGTGTACGATAATACTTTGCCAAACTTAAAGCGTTTTAAAATGAAAACAATCTCCAGTCAGAGGAGCATTTTGGCTCCGTCAGGACGTCCATACTAATGTCCATACATATGAGCACGCAGCAGCGTTTTCCAAAAGTCCGTTAAAGGGGCAGAGACTCTTGAGCGTATGCCAGACGTTACCTAATGAACAATGATGCAACAGCAGGGACGTAGCCTGAGGTGGTAAACATCGCACTGCTCCTCCACCTCATCGACAGCTTCAGCCTGAAGTATTGTTGCATAGAAAGTAACATAAATATGTAATGACTGAGTTGTTTTCACTGAAACTCATCTGTTTTGCTTTTCAGTGAAATGGAATTCAGAGATCCGGTATATGGGTAAGTGTCGAGTGACGTAGACGACCTTAGTGAGACTTAGACTCAGCAGAGCTATAACAGTAAGTAGACTCTGTGAGGTGCATGATTTCTCATGTTTCCCTCTGCAGTGAACAGTACAACGATCCGTACTACGACTATGAGATGGAGGCGCTGTGGCGAGGCGGCCAGTATGAAAACTTCAGAGTTCAGTACACAGAGGCTCCACTTCCTTATCACTACAATGTGAGTGTCCTCTGTATTCTGCTCAAAATCTTTGTCTTTAAATGTTCACAAGTGTTTTAACAACCACAAATAAAGTAAAAGCGTCTTTGTATGACGTGGAACTAGAGGATAATACCGAGGATAAACTGGACTCAATCAATCAATTAAGTCTTATTTGCATATATTCCATATTCAAAAGTTACACTTTGGCTCTTAGTGGACACTTATAAACTCAAGAATTTATAATTGCACAGACATAAAATTCATGGTAAAATAGCAAATGTCTTGCTAGATAACTGTGCATATTCATCTCGCCAGGAGCGTGAGCGCGAGCGAGACCCTCAGGACCGGCACCGGGACCGCGAGAGGGAGAGGGATCACCGTGAGAGGGAGCGCCGGCAGCGAGAGAGGGAACGGGAGCGGGAGCGAGAGAAGGAGAGAATGCGGCGGAAAGAAGAGTGGGAGAGGGACCGGATGAAGCGCGACGAGAAGGAGAGGCCGAGGATGCGACCTCCTCGAGACGCCAGGGAGAAGAAAGAGGACGACAAACTGAAACCGCGCTCTCCCCTCGGCCTGCCCCCCAAGTAAGTTTGAGCTGATGGTTTTGTTTTGCAGAAAGTTTTTGATGTGTCCAAACAACAGAGCCGAGAGACCAACCCTCCTAATCATTGGTGGTTTTGTTTGACACAGTTTTAATTACTAGGTGTGGTTGACAGACAGACATCACTTAACCAGATTTTTAATTTTTGCTTCATCCATTTGACGTCTTTGTTGACGCAACAGTCAATCATTAACCGCCCGTTCAGACTCGTGCGCTCCCGTTAAAATGTCCTTTTAACGATCAGCAATTAGATCAATGTTCATTTATCGTGTCCCAACAATTAACGATCACAGATGTTGACCTGAAGCATTGTGTGTTTCAGGGTTAAATGATAATTCTGAACGTGGAAAATTAACGTATTTTCACTTATTGAGCTGTGAAAGGAAGGTTGCACAATTCAGAAATTGTTTGTGTCGTTTTGTGTGCGCGCCACCCCCACGTTAGCAACATCTTGTAGAAACTCTGCCACGGGCACTTAGTGAGAATTAGCCCTTTGTGTTTCAGGAAGTAGTGAAAAGACCAGTTGTATTGTTTTTCCTGTTTGGTTTTATTTGTTGAAGTAATTACGTTTGCTAATGCGACAAATTGTGAAATCAAACATTGTTCATATGAATACATTTTTCCATTTCCTGGTGGAAAGGAGTTTCAGTGAAATTGAGAGAACAATAGAAGAATCTTTTGAACGTCTGAGTGAGAGTCTGGTGTGAGTTTGTTGAATGAATACTGTGCAATACATCAGTGTCTGTGCTGATGAACTGAAACATAACTGGCAACGTTTCTACCTGATGAATGAATGAATGAATGCTGCACCCTGTAGTCTGCATGTTGGATGGTTTTGGAGTCACTCTTTCTACTTTAACACTTTTTTTTAACCCATTAATGCCTCATTAACTCAGAGATGATAGGAACGTTTACGAAACATTAACTTCTCAGCCTCTGGAGGAGAAAGACAAATATTTGTCGTTCTTTATGGATCAATGCTTTTGATAATTAAATAGAAAAACAATAAATCCAGCAAACCTACAATGGTGTGAAAGACTTGGCGAACGTGATTCTTACCAACTGAACCTTGGTCAGAAGGTATTTTAATAGTCAATGAAACTCTGCTGTAATCTGCGTCAATATTGCTGACGTTCCTTGGATCTGTTTGTAGGATAAGAATGCTGAAAGACAAACAAATCTTTCAGCATTCAAAGTTCGCCTTTCAGCAAATGAAGAATTATTGCATCAGTCTTGAAGACGATGACGTGTAAACCGTTCGGTCATCCTGCTCGAAAGGGAGAAGTGTGCAAATGTTGCAACCGATCTTATGGGTTTTTATTTTTATAATTTCTCCCTTTTACATAATTATTGTTCGTTTCAGTCACAAGAAAGTAACCTGGCAAATCAAACAGTTTCACATCCCATAACATCAGCACCGTTATACACACATTAAATGTGTAATTATATTATTGGAATCTTTGACAGCTTGCTGATGTTGATAGTCTGAAGTTACCGTACAGTTTATCTATGTATCTTCTTATAATTCAGAAGTTATTCTTAAAATCTTAGAAGTGAGCGTTCAACACGGAACAACAAAGTTCCCCCGAAATGCTAATTATGCACCAACAGCAACTTGTTTGCTGAGCCTTTCTTCTTTTGTTTTACTGATTTACTCTTGTATTGTCACAAAATGCTTGAAAATGAATAAGTAGTGACTCCATTCATTGTCTCTGGTGTTGTGAGCAGTGCAACAAAACTTTCCCCTGATTGCGTCACAACGCTGCAACTCGTCACAACGCTGCCACTCGTGCATCATTCTTTCGACCCATCCATCAGGCTCCGCCTGTGGAAAAGCAGTCGTCCGTATTTGAAAAACTTCCACATTGTCATTGACATATTTCAGTGCACAGCCTTGACTGATGACTCAACCCGTGGGGCACATGTTTCCATTGCTTTGCTCGCACTTGTGCTCTTTGAAATTGCGGAACTTTGCAGTGTCGTCAGCCCTGGAAGCCCAAATGGGCCGATAATGCTCCTGTCATCAGGGATAAGAGTGAACTAACTGGAGCTGATGCCCAGGAAGTGAGGTGTAAATTTCTTTGTTATAACTTGATCGTGGTTGAAGAACTTGCTGCACTTGTCTTACACACACACACACACACACACACACAACTGGAAAGATATAACCACAAACATCTCCTCACAGCTCATTCTGCATTTCTCAGCTCCTCAATCAGGTTTTACTGTAACAACAGATATTCTAAATATAAACACCGGTCACTCTTCCTCAGTATTTCTGAGCTCATCCTCTTTGGTTTGGCTGTTTGGCAGATTTCCTCTCACAGATTTCATTTGTGCAGTAAAGGCGTCGGCAGATGTGAACTCGTCTTCCTCTGTGGCAGCTGGACATGTGACAGCAGCAGTGATTAGAGTCTCCTGCAGGTTAAACTGGACCAAACAAACACTTTTAAGGATTAACTATGAAAGAGTCACTGTAGACAGGCTTGGAAATACTTGCCTGCAACATGTAACACACGATGCAACGAAATAGAAAGTGTCTATGACTGATTTTTAGTTTTTACTATATTCTGTAACCAATTTTCCACTGGTGGAAAAAACCCACTATCATCTGGCTTTTGTCTGCAATGTGAATTTCTGAAATCAGCCCCAGGTCAAATTACATTTATCCACCATGCGGTGAAATGTGACACCCAGGTTTTCACAATCATTTCATCTATGACGCGAACGGACTTTCTGGGCTTTTGGCATGTAAACAGCTTTTGTGTTTTTGGAATAGCGTGTCATCTGCAAATTACAACACTGGCAAGTTTAGAGCCGGCATGTGATATATTTCTAGTCTAGAATTTGAACTTACATTTATTTCTTCAGTTTATTATCTGCAGGAATGAGGATTTACTGCATTACTTCAACTGCAGAACTGCTGTGTCTTCATTGTACCATCATTCCTAATTCCTCTTTTCTCCTAAATAAATGTAAACTCCTCTTCCTCTCCATTAACACCACAAAGTGAGGAAGTCACACACGCTCACTCTGTTTCTCTGAATTGTTTAAAAGTACAATTTATCTCCACTGTTTTCTTTTTTTTAATTCTTTGTCTTCTAAAGATTATTCATAATCACTTTTCAATGCAGAGTTTTTATATAATGTATGATCCACTTCCTTTTTTGTTATTTCCTCCTCAAAGGAAATGTTGTGTTGATAAGAATATGAATTGCAGAGCTAAAAATAGCACCTGTGTTGTGATTCTATTTTTAGCTCCGTGTTTTACAAGGTCACTTGTTTGCTCTTGCATCACACCAGCGGAATTTCTTATTTTCCGGAGGACGTGTACCTTTCATACGTCTGCATTGTGACTGTGTGTGTGTGCGTGCGTGCGCGTACAAAAGGCCGCCCATTCAGGAAACTGATTTCCAAGTCCGTGCCCCTGTTTAAACAGTTTTTGCAGCACATTGTTAAAAAGCCGTCTCTGCTGTGATACTAAACCACAACCTGCTCGTCACGCCGGACCTTGACCGGGCAGTAACTGATACACAGACTCCTTCTCTCAAAGTTTCTGCAACTCAGGACAGTTTCTTTCACAGCGGGAATATCCACTCATCTCGTTAATATCCTCAAACAAATATTTAAAGACCACCTTGAAGATCTCAGCGTCTTCTGCACAAAAATAAACATCAATCCATCTGGTGGGGGAAATCCCATGCATGTTGATGGTAAATGTCGCTGTGATCCAGGCGTTATACAGTCCATCTCCAATCAGTTCCCACATACAGCAGGTCTGTGATGTAAAGTCACAACGTCATTGGTTAATTATTCGAGCCAGAAAGGAAATATAAAAGATAGTAGTTATATTAAGATTAAATAGGTTAGGATAAGATTACGATAAAATGTGCCATGTGCAAAGGAAAATAGTGACAGTTGATTTGTGTACATTTCTGCTCAACTGGTTCTGCAGTGGAAATGTCTCCGACTTGTAGTCTATGCATTGGATTCTTTCAGGGTTTTTTATGAGTGAATGAAAAGGTTTGATTCATGAGAGTAAAGGAGGAAGAACAAAGACAGACAGTACATGAAGTTCGGGAATATCCAGTTTACTAAGTGGATTGGATGTTTGGACAATTTCTTCTTCCACATGTCAACAACCGATCTTTTTCCATCTTCTCAGCAGGCCGATGGAGCCGCCCTCAAAGAAGGAGATTGTTCCATTAATGAGGCGACCAGACGAGTGGAAGGACCCGTGGCGTCGGTCCAAATCCCCCAGGAGACGTCCCGGGTTGGGCTCTCCACCACGAGGCCGCCGGCGACACCGACCCTCGGGCTCCTCCGTCTCTCTGTCAAACTCCTCCAGGTACAAATTCACGCCGTGATATTTTGCATCACTGCGTTTAGTGAATTCATTATTTTTCTGTGGATGATGATAAACGACCCGTTAATCTGAACCTGAAATGTGTCCAGCTGTAGTTTGTCTCCCAGATGACTCCGCAGGGCACTTTGAAATATTAACTTGTTTATTAACCTCAACTAAATGTACTCTCCCTCTCTCTCTCCCTCTCTCTCCCTCTCTCCCTCTCTCTCCCTCTCTCTCTCCCTCTCTCTCTCTGTCTCTCTCTGTGTGTTTTATGCAGGTCCTCGTCTCGCTCTTCATCCTACACAGGCTCAGGGTCGTCTCGTTCCCGCAGCCGCTCCTCCTCGTTCAGCTCCTACTCCAGTCACTCCTCTCAGCGCAGCTCCTTCAGTGGCAGCCGCTCCAGGTACATTAAAAACACACTGCCCCCGCACTGTTCGTTCAAAACGTCAAAGCAGCTTTCTCAAAATGTTGTATTCTGTGTGATTTGATCTGATCCAAAAAATGAAAAAATCATGACACACTGAGGGTGATTGTTGATTTTTTCAGGTCTAGATCGTTCTCAACGTCTCCCTCACCGAGTCCGACAGCGCTGAGGAATGCTAAGAATAAACCAGAACTCTCCCCCATGTTAGCTAAAGGGTAAATCACTTTACATTGTTCTTTAATTCATCAGTCAATTCTCCAGCATCGTGTTTCATCATGCCTGTTAACTTATTATTATTTGTTGATCAGTTGTCATGACGTTGCATGTGATCTCACCTTCTTTACCGTAACTGTCTTAATGCTTAAAATAACAAGTGCGTTTTCCCTCCTGAAGCATGCCCCCAAAACCGGGGGCCATGCCCCCGCCTCGCAGGGACAAGCCTCCCATGAAGAAAGCTCCCAGTCCTCCCCCGCCCGGTGGGATGCAGGGCAGGCCTTCCAAACCCATGCAAGAGGGAGGCAAGGCCCCCACCAATCCCCGGGAGGCTGGAGGAGCCGGTGGTGACGGGGCTGGCGGCAGTGGAGCAGTTCGTGGCGGACCGGGCGGCAGTGGAGCAGGTCGCGGTGGGGCGGGCAGCGGAGGAGTAGGTCGAGGTGGGGCGGGCGGAGCAGGTCGCGGAGGGGCGGGCGGCGGCGGAGCAGGTCGCGGCGGGGCCGGCGGAGCAGGTCGCGGCGGGGCCGGAGGCGGCGGTGCAGGGCGGCCCTTCCCGCCACGGGAACCCGGAAAACCCCCCAACCCCAGGGAAGGAAGGAGGAAAGAAAGGCAGCAGCGTCCTCCTCGGAGGTAGGTGTCTCGAGCTCTTGATTTGTTTTGAAGCATTGAAACTGGTTTTAATATTTTAAAGAATTTGATTAATGGCAGGAATCAGGAACAGAAGATGTTTTTTTCCACTCGGATGGTTTAAATCCAGTGCGACCTGTAACCAGACACAGTGGCTGTTTCCTGCGGCCATAGTTTCAGTCTCTGGCCACAGGAATTTGAAATGTGTGTTTCATCCATGGCTGCATATTGTGTTTGGGCTGTTGGCTGATAGTCATCACAGTGTTGAGATCATTTGTGGAATGTTGTCTTTAAAGACAAATCATTTTGACGAAACCGTCTTTCAGGACATGAAGAGGTGATGAAATCTGACATTACACAGGAAACGAGTGCAGAGTGCAGTTTGTGTTCATCCTACCAGGTTTACAGCTGAAATCCACAATGCTGCATATCTGGACATCTTCCCCCTCCCATTAGTGCCGTTTGTTCCTGTCATGCTTTGTGTCCTTTTCTTTTTTTGTCCCTGGCGACACGAGTAAAGCGTCCGTGGGTCACTTAAAAAGCGCCGTCTAAAAATCAAGTTGTTAGTATCGTTATTATTTACAATGAATATTTGAACAGCAATAAAACAAATTCACTTTCAAACATTGACTGTAAAAACTTCAGTGCAGATAAACCAGGTAGGACAGAGACAGGACTTTTACCTATTATACCTTTAACAGTTCCCATATGCATTGGTAATAATTTAACTAGGGCTGAGTTCGATTTGATTAGTTAAGAATATTTCATATTACAATAAGAACTAAAGCTGTGAACTGAACAAAGGAACCTCTCACTTAATGCTTTGTGAAAAATATGAAGGTTGGCCTTTCGCAATAACACGTTTTGTTGGACAATATTTTGTTCAAACCACTGGTACAATGATAATCCTGCAAGTTCACACTTAATTAGAAGGAACATTCAGTCTGACTCTAGAATTAAACATTTTAAATATGCTAGTTGATTTTAACATAAACCACAGACAACCAAAACAAGAAATAAGAGACTTAACACAAATATCAAACATTAAGTAACCAGCTCAATAATCAGGATGCTAATGATTAGGATTTCGTGTGCTTATGTGGTGTTTAAATACGTGTGTGTTATAAACTCTGGAGTGAATCAAACAAACACAAAGTAAACTTAAGGACTGATCAGGTCCTAATAACTTGAGATGAGTGTTTGACATTGACCAGCTCGGTCACCTCCTCTCCTCTCTCACCACCGCTTCGCTCTCCATGTGTGAGTGAATAGGCTTTAAATTTTGCATATGACATAAATAATAATAATAATAACGTACTTATACAACTATCCCACCATTGGATCCATTGTTTGGGATATTTTGCACTTCTTCTTTTTTTTTTTTT